CACTCTTGTAATAATTGTTGTACTACTAATTAATGGTTCAATTGATTACTATTTATACTATATGGAGTATATAATATAATATAATCTCACTGAAAGTCCAACTGCTTCGTTTATATGTGATATGTATTTTGAAAACATATTTCAGCTATATATATGTTTAAGTAAAGATTCACTACAAAAAATAACCATATTGATATGAATTTGATTGAGGGCTCCGGATATTTAGGGAGGTTTTATGACTGTACACTTTGGGTTGGGTGCTTCTTAGCTTGTTCATTTGTGTTTGGATTGTTTGCTTTTGTTTCTTTTTTTCTTCATCTTTTACCTATTTTCCTTGTACGTTCTACTCTTTATAATAAACCCCCCTTAAAAAACAATCTCAATCATGTCAAGTAGCTCATGATAAAACTCTGTTGGCACAAATTTGGCTTATCCATCTCAAATCCTCTATGAATTTGGTGAATCTCTGTCAAAGATCTCCGCCAATTTCGTTATTTTTTTGTAGTGATTTATCAAGACAGTTTGAGCACCTACGAAAGAAGATAAAATAGAGAAAGGGGAAATATAGATCCAAATATACATTTGAAGGTAGAAATAGATTCTTTGCTATAAGTTCCATAAGTTAGATAAGATTAAATACATTTGTTTAAAGTGATGCCTAATAAGTGTGTGGAGATAAATTTAAATCATATAATAAACTATCAGTAGTAAACCAATAATAATAGTTGTTCTATAGGAGGTTCTGTCCGGCCGTCGCGATTTGGGGCAGTTCCCGGTGGAATGTTTTGATGATTTTTTTTGAGCATATTATTCACCAAGTCTAGTTTATTCATACCAAATTTCAGCTAAAAATTCAATCGGGAACACATTCAAATTAATTTTTGAAGATAACTGCGCATTTTTGCGTTCTCGGATTAAATTGAATGCGCCCCCGATTAATTTTTAGCTCAAATTTGGTATGAGTAAACTAGACTTGATGAATAAGATGCTCAAAAAATTTCATCAAAAAATTCCACCTGAAACCGCCCCAAATCGCGACGACTGGACAGAGTCTCCTATAGAAGGACTTAATTGACTTTTTTATGAAAGTTCGAGGACCTATTTGACAGTTTTCCCTTGTTTAAATGATATGTAAAGAAATAAGTATTTCATAGTCCACTTATTGAAATGCAAAACAAATGATATAAATCACCAATACCTTATATCAAATAAATAAATTAAGTTTATTAGATAGCGAACTGTCACATTTTGATACGTTTAATCCTTGGATTTGATATCAAAAAATTGCTCCATATTGTTTAATTTTTGTTATATTAAAAGGTGTAAAAGGTAGTATATTGTTTGTAATTGTCCAACAAAAAATGAAAACATTGTATCATTCTTAAAAAAGGTGCGGCATGACCTTCATACACTATGAGCCATAACCATTATAATAGTTATGATTGTAGAACATTTGTTTGATATAGGATGCCATACCCAAATGCACTCATACTCCTCATTAGGGGTGTGCATTAACCGGTCCAGACCGTATTTTAGACCTGAACCGGACCGGAATGGACCGGTCCGGACCGGACCGGTATAAATAGGTCCGGGTTTTGGTCCTTAGAATTCTATGATTCCGGGTTTCCGGTCCGGTCCGGGTCAAACCCGGAAAAAACAGGTCCGGACCGGTTGACCCGTTAAATTAATACTCCTTAAAATATATGCTTTGGTCTATTGATTAAACTTGGAAATTAGGTTCGCTGCTACACCGTCTACACTGCCAACATACTTTGTGGCAAAGAGTATTTTAGTTTATATTCTATTATATTAGTCTTTTATATTCTATTTAGCAAATTTTTAGGTGTTAAATGAATGCAATTAGTCTTTATTTAGACCGCAGGTTTGCCTTGTGCCATTGTACAGGATCTACCGAGTACAAATCATGAATTCATGGATGTAGTTTATGAGTAGTTTTTATTTAGTCTATTATGTTCTCTCTCTTTTTTACCGTTAGTCTATTATATCCTATTTGGCAAATTTGCATATGAGATTACTTCTTAAAGTTTATAAATGAAAGAAATAGTTATTTAAAAAACCGGGTCAATTATGGTTAAAACCGGACCGGACCGGAAAATTCAGGTCCGGGTCGGTCTGGACCGGTTAGTATACGGTCCGGTCTTCGGTCCTTATAAAATTGAGATTCCGGTTCCGGTCCAAACCGGTTCCGGTCCGGTCCGGTTTTGGAAGCGGAATCTCATATATAAAACGAAACACTTTTTACAAGAAAGATATTTATGGAAATGTCGCCGTTTTTTAAATTTAAAATTTCATCCCATCCATGTATTTTTAAGAAGGTAGTTTTATTTGAATATCTAGCTTTATATTTGATTATTATACACATGTATACAAACACATATTGAATGTATCAAGCCGATAAGTGGACTTATCTATTTGAACTGGCCATATCCCAAACTCACCCATATATTTTTATGGCTCCAGCCTAGTCTAGCTGGTATATATACGGGTAATTCTAATTGCTGCCATCAAATTACTTTCTATAGCCGCATATTTATATATTATCGTGCTACTTGAAACACTTAATTTTCACATTAGTAATAATTTATATTATTCCAATACACTCAACAATCATTATATATTTAATAATTTAATATAGTCACATGAATGATTTTTTCATAATAATAACTTTTGTAATTTTTCAATAATAATATATAAGAGTATGATAGTTGCGAACATATGAATTATATAAATTTATTACTTTCAATTAGAATTACTAAAATATATATCTCCATATTATATACATTAATTATGTTTTCCTTAGATGAATAATGAAATGATATATGTTAATGCAAATATACATTATTATTTATAGTTGGAGACTTAATAAATTATTATTATTATTTTAAAAGTAATGCTTACAAACGAATGTGTAGAATCCTGACAAAACTATGGTGATACTGATACTATCGTATTTGATTGTATCAGTATAGTATTAAAGGTTAAATTTGTTATTTAATAATATATATTTTTGAGAAAAGGGGCAAATAAGCCCACATACTAACAAAAGAGGTCAAATAAACCCTTATTTAGGAGACTCTGTCCTGCCATCGCCATTTGGGTCCATTCCCGGTGTAATTTCTTGATGAAATTTTTTGAGCATTTTATTCATTAAGTCTAGTTTACTCATACCAAATTTCATCTAAAACTTCAATCAGGGATTCAAATGACTTCTTGAAGATAACTGCACAGTTATCTTCAAGAATTCATTTGAATGTCTTCCTGATTGAATTGTTAGCTGAAATTTGGTATGAGTAAACTAGACTTAATGAATAAGATGTTCAAATAATTGCATCAAGAAATTACACCGGGAATGGACCCAAATGGCGATGGCTGGACAGAGCCTCCTATATAAGGGCTTATTTGACCTTTTTTTGTTAGTACGTGGGCTTGTTTGCCCATTTTCCCTATATTTTTTTATTAATAATTAAATGAATGAATGTGAATAGAATTGTTTTTAGACGAACATAGTATAATTAGATATTTTAAATGCAATTTACACCCTTTATAACAACAATTTGAATTTTTTGTTAACATTAATTTTATACCAAACAAAATTTTCTATATTAGAAACAAATACACAATCGTTGAAAAAAAATGACCCTATTTCAGATTCAAATGATCACTTTAATTTTCGTAGTTATCTATATCAGCTTCCTAAAGAATTTACATTATTTTTTTTAACAAAATAGGAACTAAATTGAAAGAAGATAACTGTGCATTTATCTTCAAAAAATAATTTGAATGCATTCCCGATTGAAGTTTTAGCTGAAATTTGGTATGAGTAAACTAAACTTGATGAATAAGATTCTCAAAAAAATTCATCAAAAAATTCCACCGGGAACAGCCCCAAATCGCGACGGCCGAACAAAGCCTCCTATATAAGGACTTATTTGACTTTTTTATGAAAGTTCGAGGACCTATTTGACATTTTCCCAAAGAAATAAAATGAATAAACAGAGAGAAAGAAAAAAATTGTAATTGAATAGAATACTACAGTAACAAATATCCTTAGTTAAAGAGAATAAAGAAACCCTAAATCCAGAAACGATATCTTTTTTTATGTGTGTGTGAGTTTTTTAAATACAATATAATCTCTTTTTTAATTAAGAGCATTAGAGGATCTAAATTAGGGATATAGTAGAATAAAGTTGGGAAAGTTCCCGAAATAGGACTAAAAAAGTTTGAAAATTCCAAAATAGGACTATCATGTTTTTATTCTCAAAATAGGACTAATTACTGTCGAATTTGGAAAATACTGCCATATTTGAAGTCTGGTACTGCCAAAACATGACAGTAATTAGTCCTATTTTGGGAATAAAAACATGGAAGTCCTATTTTGGAATTTGCAAACTTTTTTAGTCCTATTTCGGGTAATATCTCAATAAAGTTCAGAGCAAAAAAATTATTTAGAAACATTGGTAAATGGAAAGTAGTAAATTTTTTAAGGAGGCAGTGAATATATTATGAAAAAGTCTATAAATATTACGGAGTATTCTTTAAAATGTGATGGACAAAAATATTACGCAGTAACTATAAGTGACTACAATTGTGTTCTAAACTTACATCGTAGTAACTAAATGTAAGTTACAATGATGTAACCTTTAAACACAATTATAATTACTAATAGTTATTAAGTCACATTTTTATGATTAGTAATATTTATAAAAAATCAAACATTCCAGCCCAGCTGGTTGTGAGGTTATCGTGCTTAGTGGGAGGTCTCGAGTTCGATTCCAATAATAAGTTTCGGCCCTGATTACTTCAGGCTTCCCCAGCCCCCTCCCCCAGACCACGGAGTAAAAAAAACAGAAAATCTCGTGTTTTATTATTGAGTTTATTTAAGTTCACTTTAGTTCAGTCCAAATTTTGGATCAGCCCAAAGAGGGCCCAGTAATGGGTTATGTAAAACTTATACGGGTATCTGGTATCATCATATCGTCTCAATTTGGGACTATGGAGTAAAACTTTTCCCCAAATGTTGACAAATAGGCAGGGGATGAGTAAATGAGTAATTTAGGAATCGGAAGAAGGGATATGACTGCGCTTTTCCTTGTTGTCCGAAATCTGCGTTATATTCACCCTTGGCAGATGGCTCTGCAGATCGGTGAGGCAACCAAAATTCCAGATATAGAAAAAAAGTTAATTGCATTAATATTCGATTTTAGGGTTTAGCAATCCCTTATAATCCATGCAAAAGGGCTATCCTTTTTACTTTTTATTCTTCAATTCCCCAGTTCTTTCCCCTGCTGATTATATAAGGCCCATTTTCTGGGTATCTGCTCGATTTTTGCCCTCTTCAGCCATTTTCATTTTCTATGTTTGGCTTGTCAGAGAATGAGGTAAAAGCCTCTAACTTTTAGCATTGGTCTATCAGCTACTGTTCTTCCGTTTGCTCCTCTGAATTGCATAAACTCTGTTTTGTTTAATTCTCGAATTTTCTGAGCTGCCAAACTGAAACAACCTCAGGTTCTTTTGGCAAAAAAAATTGTTCTTCCTTCTAATGTTAATAAAGACACGTTTACCAGGTGTTGTCCAGTGTTTTATTTCTGGTCTGACATAGTTTTGTTCATCCACTTGATTAGCAACACACCGTTAGTATATCAAACACCCGTGGGACTAATTCCGTTCGAATTAGAGACCTCCGGTCAAGCATAAAAAAGATTAAAGATTTCTGTGATTTTAAAAATCTTTTAGCAGTTTTTCTCAATGTAGAACTCTCTTTGAATTCATATGAATATTTTGATGATCCTGTTTTTAGTGTTAAGAATCTTAAGATGTTCGGTTCCCTTGTCTAGTAGAAGGGGTAGTCTTCTAAGAACTTATATGTTTTTTTGTTTTTATATTTGATCTATATGAACTGGCTTATCAGAAAATCAAAACAGTCTTTTTCTTTTATAGTTATGATTTTCAAATGTATATATGAAATGTGGCAAGTGTTAGAACAATTTATTTATAATCATTAAGCACTGTGAGTTGTACAAATAGATTTTTTGTTTTTTTTTAATTATATACTACATATATGATATCTGATGACTGTAAAAAAAGCCCTTTATGGAAAACCATTAAATCCCCTGTTCCACTGTGTGATACTACCCCGGTCCCGTCCAAAGGTTCCTATGGTAAAACGACACAGTTATTTAGATTTTAGACAATAATTAAATAACGCAGTTCGAATACATTTTGAGAAATAATTTCAATAGGTATACACTATAATGGGTCAGTGTGATGTTATAAATGTATTATTTGTTAGATTTAAATGATTAATTGTCATTTGAGATGGTTAATTGTTTCCTAAAATGGAAATTGGAACCTTCATATGGGATGTCCAAAAAAGGAAAGTGGGAACCTTTCTACGGGATGGAGGATTAGTATTTATTTATTTATTTATTTATTTATTTATTTATTTATTTATTTATTTATTTATTTATTTATTTATTTATTTATTTATTTATTTATTTATTTATTTATTTATTTATTTATTTATTTATTTATTTATTTATTTATTTATTTATTTATTTATTTATTTATTTATTTATTTATTTATTTATTTATTTATTTATTTATTTATTTATTTATTTATTTATTTATTTATTTATTTATTTATTTATTTATTTATTTATTTATTTATTTATTTATTTATTTATTTATTTATTTATTTATTTATTTATTTATTTATTTATTTATTTATTTATTTATTTATTTATTTATTTATTTATTTATTTATTTATTTATTTATTTATTTATTTATTTATTTATTTATTTATTTATTTATTTATTTATTTATTTATTTATTTATTTATTTATTTATTTATTTATTTATTTATTTATTTATTTATTTATTTATTTATTTATTTATTTATTTATTTATTTATTTATTTATTTATTTATTTATTTATTTATTTATTTATTTATTTATTTATTTATTTATTTATTTATTTATTTATTTATTTATTTATTTATTTATTTATTTATTTATTTATTTATTTATTTATTTATTTATTTATTTATTTATTTATTTATTTATTTATTTATTTATTTATTTATTTATTTATTTATTTATTTATTTATTTATTTATTTATTTATTTATTTATTTATTTATTTATTTATTTATTTATTTATTTATTTATTTATTTATTTATTTATTTATTCATATGATACTTCAATATCCTTAATGGCTTAATTGTCAATATTCCTGCTGTCTAATTGTGTTTTGCAGAAGATGAATACACCTGGAGGTAATTATTGGAAAGGGAATGCCAACGGAGCAAATGGCCATGACATCTTTTATGACTTGCTCAGTATTGTGGATTTTCCGATGGAGAGTTTGGAAGGGGAAGGCTCTAATGAAGGTGGGGATACTGTCCCTTCTGAGGATGCATATATTGACATGTATCCATTCCCCCAAGCATATTTCCAGAATGGCTCATTGGAAGGGGTGTTCAAGAACGCTTATGTAAGTTCCTCCAACTTTTAGTTCCTGCATTTGAATGCTTTGCATGAGATTTGTGTATTCTCTTAATTAGTAATTCAATGATAAATCATTGTGGTTTAAGGAAATTATACTTGGTAGTATAAGGAAATAAAGTACTGTGATCCTAAAATCTACTAAGGCAGTGAAGGTCAGATGCTACTTTTGGAGAGTGTCATGTTTCAACGTGACATGTAAAATGTCGGCTGTCTGGAGGAATGTTCATTACCAAAGTGGTTCTTCCCTAGCACTTGGGGTTTTATTCTTTTCTCCTTCACCGAGGCCTTCAGTTTGAAGTAATTTGGACCTGGTTTGATTTTCGGTTTTTCTACTTTTGTTCTTCCGTGCCGGGAGCTTCTTGGCTTTTGATTGGATTTTTTTTCTTACGACAAAATGGTTGGAACATGCCCTCTGGAGGATCTTTACACTCATCTTGCTATTGGTGATGAGGAGGAAGATGCTCAAATTTTTGAGGATATTCTTGTGTCGGGGCTTTCGTCGTTCTTGGTAAGGTTATGACTGATCTCACCTTATCTTTAATTTAAATAACCGTTGTCCCCCCAAAACAATACCACGTTGAATGTAAAGTAACAGGTTTGCGGTCTCTTTTGACGAAGTGATTTTTTTTCCATTCTGGTTTCTTGTTATTGTGTTTCATTTACTATCTCAGTATCTCTTTTTATGGAAACTTGGCAAACTCCGGGTGAGGATCGTCAACATTGCCCTAGAAAAACAACGTGTCATCATTGATTGCGATTGCTTTTAATGAACTGCCACTTTTTCCACATTAGGTTTTTTTCCTCATTATGTTTTCGTTAATTATAATTCTTGTTTTATCTTTAATTTTTATAATATACAGAGTAAATGTTTTAGATTTGTGTATTAGTTTAATTTTACTGTTTTGATGAAATGGCAATAAACACTTAGTCCTAACAACTAGTATCAGGATCCTGGTGAAGGGTTTGAAACCTCCCCAGCTGGTGTTGGGTGACATGGAGAGAAGTTTCAGCACCACTTGATAAATAAACTAACAATGTCGTTAAGCACTGGCCATTTTTCTCGGCCAGATGGGATCCCTAGAGAATTTCAGAACTATGCTTGTTGGTTGGGGTTATTTGAGTATTCAGACTAGGAATGATGACCATTTTTTGGATTTTTTACCATGGAGTGGTTTACCTGGTCTGGGCTTAATTTGTGTGACCAGCATTTAGTTTTTTTGGTTGAAATAATGGTGTGTTTTATCCTTTGTTGGAAATCTCTATTCCTCAAACAGGATTAACTGGTTTTGCACTCCAAGCTCTCACCAATATGTGTTAAAGAGTAATTATATATCTCAAAGAACACCCAATTATGATGTGTTTAAAGCATCAACTACTATTGTTCCCTATGAAACATTTAAACAGTCCATAATTGATGGCATATAGCCATCTAACTGGGGACTGGTCTAGTTCAGCCTCAAGTTTGTATCATGTGTACACAACTCCATATCGGCTAAATAAAAACCTTACATATAAGATCCTAAACCACTGCATCTACTTTTTTTTATGTAACCTGAAGTTTTAATATCATAAATCTGAAAATAATCTATTTTGCCAAATCAACCTTAGGAGTCAATTTTTTTGGCTTGAGAATATAATGGAATAAAGCAAAATGGCTCACTAAACTGTCTACGTTTCTCTGTTATGAAGCAACAGTCAGTCCATGCAATTTTGGACGCGTTTTTCACTATGGGTCATCTGGAAACAATCTCTCTATGCTTTAGTACAGGGGTAAGAGTGCGTACATCAGACCCCCCCCTACCCCACCGTAGGTGGGGGAGCCTTTGCGGCACTGGGATAAATGAAAATGATGAAATGATGAACCTTAGGAGTCAAATTTCATTAATTTTATCTATATTGTTTCTAATTCGCCAGGAGGAGAGTGCCCCCCAGGAAAATCAGGTGTTGAATCTTGTTCAAGACCCTTCTGGTGGTGCACCCGCCCCTCTCACGGAGACCTCATCAGAAGAAACGATGCTCATAAACTCCGACTCTAGCATCCTCTTTCCTGACTTTCTTGTTCCTGTTGGTAAGCGGTCAAAGCGCACTAGATCCCCAAACGTTAATCGATGGAGTTTGATTGCTCCCATATTTTGTTCTTCAGCTCCATCCAGAAATACTTCGGGTATGTTTGGATCACATATAGTGCTATACATGTTTATTACAACTTTACAAGTTTATTTTTATGTTTGGTTTTAGGTAGGAAATGAAAAAGAAGCATCATTGTTTTAAAAACCGCGTATATGTAGATATAATAAGTCCGGTTGGTAGAATTGATCGGCTTAAGAATAAGCATAATATGTAGCCTCTGAAATATTGATTTGGCTGAAAGCAGTTTTGCGAAAAGCTTTTCCTTTCATAATGTTTGGAAGATTCGACCATTTCAACCAATAATTCTACCAAACATTTATTTGTGCTCTGTATAATAGAGATAAATAAGTAAACCCGTTTTTAAACAAAAAACCTAAATTATTTTGCTGAGTTTGGTCTAACCTCCAAAATTTTATTTCCTTCCAATTTTATTCAATGTTTTTCCCTCTCTGTTCTTTCTCTAGTACTTTCTGGCATCCAAATGGACCCACCGAGTCCCAAAAAGATGAAAAAGAGAGTGCTGTCACCGAAATCGATTCCCGTGAAGTATGGTAGAGGGCCAGGAGTGAATGGTTCTGTTAGAGAATGTACACACTGTCACGTAAAAAAGACGCCGCAGTGGAGAGAGGGGCCATTAGGGCCCAATACTCTATGCAATGCCTGTGGAGTCCGATACCGTACCGGGCGGCTGTTTCCGGAGTATCGACCAGCTGCTAGTCCAACCTTTATACCTTCTGTGCACACAAACTTGCACAGGGAAGTCCTTCGAAAGAGAGGACAACTTTGATTGAAGATGAGGAAATTCGGCATGGTTAAGTGTTGTATTTGGGGGCATTGTGAGTTAGAGTTAGAAAGGATGTTGATTAGTGACCAAATTTGATTTTCATTTGGCTTAATTTATTTATTTATTTTGTTTGTTGTGGTAGGAAGTAAAGAAAGACTAGATTTTAATTTACTCCCACCTTACAGGTGAAGTATACAAAATAAAATAATGCTAAAATGTGGTCACTGTTTTTGTTTTGTTTTATTATCATTATTGTTATTATATATTTATTTAAGATGTGAGCCCTTAGATTTATTAGCCATGCCCATGCCAATTTTTTTTGATACCCCAGGGTGTCCGAGGGTTTCATTAGTATCATATAGGTGCATCTGAGTCGAGCTTAAATTTGGATGGGTTCAATATTGAAAAACATGTATCTGCTCAAGTTTGAATGAACTTAATTCTCTTTAATTTTTAGTTGAGCTCGGCTCGATCTTAACTTGTGTTCGGCTCGATAACTTTTATGAGATCCAAGCCCAAATAATATGTTTAAACTTAAACTCGAGTTCAAGCCAAAAACAAATCTTCTACTGTCAAAACTATTAGTATGATATTATAAAAACAAATTTTCTATTGTCAAAACTATTACAGTAGTATGATATTATACATATAGTCATATTTCTAGTGAGAGGTAAATCATGTATGTATTACACCCTCTGTATCCTTATTGTGTGTACTGAGCTTCGCAAGGGCATAGCTAGGGGTGGTCAATTAAACCCTGATCCATCCAAAATTTAAAAAATGCCTATACTTTTAGTGTAAAAATTTCTGTGTAATTTCTTTTTCAAATTCTTTGTACCAGCTCAGTTGGGCCTAGTGTCCTGGCTCTGCCCAGGAGCTTGGTTATGTTTGATTTTATTTTATGAGAATCTACATAAAGTTGTATTTGTAGATTTCTATGCACGTATATACTTGTGTACAATACGTATACATTAGAGGATGTTGATATTATTTGATTTGAGAATTTGTCAAATTGAGGGAGTACTTTATGATGGTACTACATTGAGTATAGACATCTTTATAGGATTTACGATAGTGTTTGTGAGTTGTGACTTTGTGTGGTTGCTGCTTAGGTAGTTAGGGATGGTCTTGATTTTGGTTCTAGAACTAGGCCCGGGCCGGGCCTGACCAGGCTTTTTTGGGGAAAGTTGAGGCCCGGTTATCCACCGGGTCCAGGCCGGTTTTCCACCGGGTCTGGAACTTTCTAATTCCCTTAACCACTTCATCTAGGGATGGACTCGGGCCGGGCCAACCGGCCCGGAACCGGCCCGGCCCGCTACTGTGCGGGCCCGGACCGGCCCGGTGAACCGGTTAGTGCCCGGTTGGGGCCACCTGGCCCGGTGGGCTTTGGTTCCGGGCTCGGGCCCTCCATTTGGTGAACCGGCCCGGCCGGTTAGGGCCCGGTCCGGGCCGAATTTATTTTTTTAAGTTTTTGGCTTGGGCTGGATATTTTGGGCCATTTGAGGTGGTTTGGGGGTGAGGGGGTGGGTTGGGGGTTAAATAGGAGAAGCCAAAAAAAAATTACAAACCGGGCGGCCCGGCCCGGCCCGGCCCGGCCCGGTGGCTACCGGTTCGGGCTCGGGCCCAACAAAACAGAACCGCGAACCGGCCGGGCCCGAACCGGAACCGGTCCACCCCTAACTTCATCTATCATTCTATCTATATTTCTACACAAACTCTCAATTGTTTATTATTCATTTCTTGTACGACAAATTTCGTTTATTCTTAATTTGTTATTGTCATGTACCCAACGATGCTACTTTTAAGGTTAAAAATCCCAACGATGTTATTGTTATTATGAACTTGTACTCAAAATTCAGTCAAGTGCAACGGAACTTTGAGAGGAAGTGAGCAAGTCATCGGTGCACAATTGATGCAAAGCTACAAGATTTTATTCAAATAGCCAAGGACCTTAACCTCTTTCAGTTTTATGATAAAATGTAAACTAGTTCCCTAATAATTTAATTAGAATTGAAATTTTGGATGGACGGGGGCCTAGGTTGCCTCCTAGCTACATACGCCCCTGATTATTATCACATTTTTTATATTGTTATTATTTAGATTTTTAGTTTTTGTAAAATCTTTAATTATCATATAATCTACATATACACATTCAAAAATAATATAATCTACGTAGTACAATACACACACATAAAACCAAACATCTCAAAAACACATTTGCTTCTCGATATAATCTACAATATACAACTTTCAGAGGGAATTAGAAAGTTGTAGATGTAATAAAATATATCTTCATGTACCAAAGCTTGCACCAATCATATAAAAATAACTTTTTCGCCTCCACAAAGTCATTATCCAATTCCTAAATACATCAACTAACTTTATTCTAAAAAAATACATCAACTAACTCGCAATTCATCATAGGGGTGGGAAAACGGGTACTAGAACCGCAGGTCGGGTCGGGTAATACAGGTTCAGGGCAGGTTAGGGTCGGGTCCTAATTTTAGAAAATCCAAACTGTTCGGGCGGGTCCTGAAAAACTTAGGAACCGAACGGATCTTAAAATTTGAAAAAACGGGTACCCGGACCGAACCGTTTCAAAATATTATTTTAATAATCTCTGTTATATTTAATACTAATATAATATAATATATTGACAACACACGAAAGTTCTTCATGTTCTTGTGTCTAGACAAAGACTTTTAGTTAAAGAAACTTCTCAATCTATTAAAATTAGTTTCCAAGTCCGTATAATTTAAACTCCTAAATTATTTTCCTCTATTCCCTATTCCAAATGCATCAAACTTTCTTTCTTTAATAATTTTTTGTAAACAAAGACTCTTACTCAATGAAGTGTGACATATTCATTTAGTTATCTTAATTTTACTTATACTTGGAGATTTAATAAGATTTAAATTATTTTAACAGACAAATATGTATAATAACTAGTTTAATTTCTTATGAATTTATGTGCCTATCTTTTTTATTGTTTTATGAATGAGAATTAACATTTTAATTAAGGTGGTTGTGTGCGTGTAATTTATAAATTTGTGGTTTGATATTTTGTTAACTAACTTAAAATGTTGTCTTATACTTTTATTTTGAATTTTTACTATATTATGGTTATATCAATATATTTTTTTTTACAAAAAATAAGATCCGAGGACTCGAACTGAACCGACCCGTTTCAAACGGGCCAGATAAGGTCTGGTTCCTGTTTTGAAACTTGGTATACCCGAACCGAACCTACCCGCTAAATGGAATCGGCGATTCTTGAAAATTTATCAATTACCCGGACCATGCCCACCCCTAATTCATAATTGTTAAGAACTTCAAAGATATTTTTACTTAGAATTGGAATTTTCAGGTCTAGTCTGGTCTGGTATGATCTGAACTGGTCTGGTCTGATAAATGTCTAGTCTCTTTGTATTTTATAGGGAAAAGTACAGAAAACGTACATGTGGTTTGGGCCGTTTTCAGATAGGGACACATGTTTCATTTTTAAACAAAGTGAGACGTGTTTTTATTTCGTTATCACAGCTAGGGCATGACGTCTAACGCAGTTAGAAAAATTAATTGATTTCTGTATACATTATAACTATGAAAGTCAGGTGTGGTCTGATTTGATCTGTTTGAGTCTGGTCTTGATTGGGACTGAAAACAATTCAAGTAAGAATATTTTTTATAAAACAATCAAAAGAAGAAAGTTAAACAAAACATTCAGTGTAAATATAAAAAAATTAAGGGTTTTGACCGAAAGGCACAATTTCAAAAACTGATTCAACAAAGAACTTCATACATTTCACCAAAATCATCTGATTCAACAAAGAACTTCATACAATCGGCTTATCAGTCAACTTCACCAAACATGTGACTTTTAATTTTGTGCGCAGAGTTGTGTAATAATGAATACAGAGTATATTAAGATTGATCTGATGTTATTTCTCTGACTAAATTGACTGAAGTCATTGTGAAGAACCGTTTTAACTATTTTCATATAATTTTTTTCAATATGTTTAGTGGGTCGCTCGATCGCTCCCACTGAGCTGTCAGATTGGCTCCTTTGAGTCACGGGCCGACAGTTAAAATTAGCCACAAAGCGTTTTATAGAAAGTTCAATGAAATATCTTTCAGAAAGTTTTATAGAAAGTTGTTTTGAGATCTCTTTCATAAAGTTTTACAAACATGTTTTGATAAAGAAATTTTGAGATCTCCCTAGCAGTTTTGAGAAATTATTTCAAAAAAATATCTTCTTTTGAGATCTCTCTTTGAATTTATTGAGAAGTTATTTGTTAGTTATTTGTTCAGGACATGCTTATTGTCACGCCCCGGACCTCCCCGGACACGTCAACAACCCGCCGTACGATACGAATAGTCAACCGCAGTCCAACACATTCATATTATACAAGGCGTCATGAATATCATTCACACATAAGTCATCCATAAACATACATAATAAACAATTGAATACGCAGCGGAAAACATTGTTTAAAACAAAAGGGCCACACAGGGCAAACATGAGCACGCAGGCTCTAAAGTAAATATCCATGAGCAAGTTTAATATTATTTAAAAACAGAATGGAGGAAGCACGAACCAAGTCTTCTCTCCAAGGAATCACTCGATCAACGAGCACAGGAAGCAAGCTCTAGCCTCAACCTGAAATGGTGGTGGGACGCCCCCGAAGGGGTCAGTACTCTATACGGCTATAAAGTACTGGTGTGGCAGGCATCTAATAGATATACAACAAGTATTTCAAACACAAGACCCTCAAGTAGGGTGATAGTACATTATGATTGTAACCCTAAGTTACCCCGTTTAAAAATATACTTCCTCCGTTCTTAAATAAATGCAACAGTCAACATTTCACATTTGCCGAGACACAACTTTGACCATTAATATATATAATTCCCGATTAGTAAAAAAAGTTTAAAAAATAGATTCTGAAAATTTATAATGAGAATAATTTAACAATATTTTTTTCAAAAATATATATTATTACATTAATAAATAAAACGTAGTCAAAGTAGAACATGTGAATAGTGCAAAAAGTCCAACGTTGCATTTAAAAGAGAACGGAGGTAGTACTTACTTTATATAAAAGTCAAGTAGTCGGCCCGTGGGCCCGTTTTCATTTGGAAATCACCATTCCCAACCCCGTGACTATAAGCCACGACAACTCCTAGAGTCCAACCCTAGTACATGACATTGTATTCTAGAGCTCGGCTCTACCACATCACCATACAATTCATATACCTCGGGT